GAGACATCCAAACAATTTGAAAACAAATGCTTTTAGAAATGTTTCGCCAGACAAATGTGTGAATAAATATGTAATGTTGGAAAAATCTCATTTAAGAAGAAAAGTTTTTTTTATTCAAGTACATATTTGTTTTTTTTTTTTATTAAATATTATTTTCTAAATATATTAATATTTTTGTATTCTAATAATGAAGTGTTAAGTATTTGTTAACCTTAAATGGGGTCTTCAATATTGCTTTTGTAATAATATTTTAATAAGCAGGTGTCAATCGATCTCATAGAAGATATTTATGTATTCGAAGTAAATCGAAGAATTAGATTAAAACAATTGAAATTGTTTGGTTATGGAATTTTAATAATTTTTTTTTTCCTAAAAAAGGTGCCTGAAAATCAATTTTTGGAATTTCTATACTTAACGTTAAAAAACAGATCAGCGGAAGGTTTCTAATTGAAATCCGTTTATAAAATAATCTCTGAAACACAAATACATAGAAATTTCGGAAATATAAATGAAAAATTCTGACGCAAATTCTGGTATTCGAAAGCGATCGACACCCTAATAGAATTTTAAATTATTTTGTAGAAATTTCAATCGCTTTCAAAACACAATTGAAAATTCTAAAATACAATATGAAAGTTCTAATATTACTAAGGTCATATTTATAACTGAAATTTAAACTAATTTCCGTTACCCGAATAAAAAATAAACCTAATGACAGTGCAAATGAATGTTCGAAAATTCAAATTCTTATTCGAAAAACATTAATAGTTGTTAAAATAACCTCTAGAGCATGAGGATTCTTAAATAAATTTAAGTCGAAGTTATGTTCGAAAAATTTTTAAAAATCTAAATAAGTTTTTGGATTAAAATCTGTGTGGAATATGTTCGAAAATTCGAAGTTGTATTCTAAAAGTACAAAAACAGCATGATAAATTTTAATAAATTTTCCAAAATTCTGGTAAATACAACTTCTATTTTTACACAACATATGACACTGGGTAATAATCGGTTATACTTGTATTTTCTGTCATGATCGACTAAATCGATAGATCTTTTTAATATCTCTTTATCCATTTTTAGAGATTTTTTTATAGATTTAATTAAAAATAACCATTTCTGAAATAACAAACTGTTTAAAAAATATTTATGTTAAGAAAAAAAGAGATTTTTATATTAGATTAACTAAAAAAAAAAAACAGTAGCACTATTTTAATCTAATATACTACTACATTTACTTTTAAAATTTCAAGTGCAAAGTTCAATTTAGAACTGGTTTTAAAAATTATAAGTACTTTTAACGAATTTTGCATAAATTATTCTTATGTTGAGAAATTTACATAAAAAATTAAGTAAATTTTAAATGTTTGACTAATTTCTGGTGTTTTTGAGAGTTTTCTGAGATTTAAAACTAAATTGAAATTTTAATAATTCAAATTGCAAATAAAACAAAGCTATACATTTTCCTAAATATGTAGAACTATTTTAACTACCAATCGGAAATAAAACTTTTTTAATCAAAATATAACATCTGTATAAGAAATCTTATTTAAAATCAATTAAAATACAATCAAAAATTAATGAAAATAAAATTGTCGAAAACTGTATTATTTAACTACAAATTGCCAATATTTAATAACTTAAAAATATAATTGATTTTTAATACAAGTCACTTCTAGATATTCACTTTTACATAATATTAATTTATTACTTTTTATACTTACATTACATGAAACAAAAACAGCTTGTGTATTTGTTGTAGTTTAAATTCAATTTATAAAATCAGAATTTATAATCACAGATGTTTTATTATTGTTTATTTACAATTAAACAATAAATTAAAAAGAGTTTTATGTTTCTTTCTTGAGTACAATCCTTTGCCTTTTTCTTTTCTTTTAAAATCGAAATACACTATTATTAACTCTATTTGTTATGCTAGAAATTACGCATTTCTTTTCCTTATTTTTTAACCCCCGTAATTTTATAACTGTAATGATATATTTATTTGTATTCCTTGATTTTTCGTTGTTATTGTTTCTTTTAAATGCTTATTTCTTATCCTCTTTTTTTAAACAGACAGATGATTAAAAATGTATTTTGAAACGCTTCAACTGTAGTGTTATTGTATTCTATAGAACAAAGTGTTGTTTTTTTTATTATTTTTTAAAATTCTCAAATATCCCACACGTTTTGTATACAGAACAGACTATAAGTGAACCGCGTTGACGAATGGTTTGATAACGACTGTTTTTATTGCTGACAATGAACGTGCAATGAAAATGCCACCAATTTACCGACAGAACCCAAACAGTAACAATAACAACAATAAGAGCAAAGGCAGAGTTATAGACAAAACGAAGCTTTGATAATAACGAATGATTTTATTTCAAAATACATTTTTTTCACTTATTGGTGATATTTTGTGATGTACATACTTAAAAATATGATGATAATATTCTTGTTTTTGTAGTTGATAATAATTTTTCGCTGAGAGTTTATAAATAATACTAGAGATCTAATAAGTAGAATAATGAGATTTTTTTGAGAGAGCGTAAAATAATCTCTGTATTCATAGTTTATGATCTCTTAAAGTACAAGAGAAATATGAGGAGCAATTTTTTAATAGAAAACCATTAGGGTGTTTTTTGGTTGAAATTTCGTGGATTGTGCGTGAAATTTTATGACACTTCATATAACACTCAAATGCCAACAAATTAAGAAAAATCGAACTGCTTTTGTCAAAAGAAAAATTTCAAAATGTTTAAGTTCAAAATTTGCAAATGTAAGAAATTGGCCTTAAATTAAACAAAAAAGTATAATTTTATAAATTCTAATGATATAGAGATTATTTCGAACTTATATTCGAATTTCGAATCCTCCTGGGTTGGAGATTTTTTTTACCAAATAACCAATAAACCAAATAACAAATATGTATTAAATTTCAAATATAACATGTAATATATTACATTATCATAACGTTTGCCATATTCCGGCCTATTAAGTTACATATTTTGAATCTAACTTATAAATTGAACACATTTTAAAACAAATTTTTCGTTCTAATTTAAAACACTATTTTTAGTTAGTTTTAAATTATAAAAAACGTGCAATAAATAGTTTTATTTAAAATTTTTCTTTAGTGGAAATTAGCCCATATCCATTAGATCAATTTAAATATAATGTCAGAGAATCTTTTTGATTGTACATATTAAAAAATGCAAGTTAAATTTTAAATTTCTTCGTCGACATCGTACATATCACTATTAAAGAACTAATAAATTGTTACAAGTGCATTTTAAGTGCATTATAATCTGTGATTATTTGATATAGTAACTACAGTATAATTGAGTATATTGACCTAAAGATAACAACAAACATGTCAAATGAAACCTATATACATATGTATAGTATATATTAAGATTTAGTTGATAGTTTAAAAAGAAACGTCACGATTGGTTGTAAAATGGAATTTTTTTCAATATTCTATTTACTAATAACACTCAAGCAAAAAAGTCAAAGTATAAAAAAAATCACTTTCAGTAATTTTGGTACAAACAAAAATCATAAATTTTTTCTTAACTTAAACAAATTTATTTATTTATTAATTATGAATTATTTCTATTAAAAATTTAATATACTTTTCGAAGACCCACCTAATGTAAGTACATTTATATGTAAGCTTGTATGTCTGATATAATCTATATCTACATGCAGGTGTAATCAAAAGTGTCCGATTACTATTTTATTGCAAGTAGAAACATTTTACCTTTTGATTGGATTATCACAACTTACTAGACCAAAATTAGAACTTTAAACTTGAATGCTCTATATTAAAAGTTAACTAATTACACCAACAAACTAACTGTAAGTAGAAAAAATTTAACGCTTAAAAGTACTTAATACAGTTTTTTATGGAAAATTTATTTACCTATTTATATTATATTGATTTTATTTGAAATTGATTCTGTTTAGCTTATCAAAACTAAGATCGTGTGTTTAGTAAAGGTTCTTATTAAGTACATACAAATTACAATTCCACTTTAAAAACTGGAACTGGTTTCATTCCAAAATAATTAAAGAAACAAAAATACTGAAATAATTCCATTTTCGATCGGAATGTTATTCCTGCGAAAGGACTGATAATCCACTCTAGCAATCCCCGAAGAAAACACACTTCTAGGCAAATCTTTATAGGAAAATAATCATATTCCATCAAAACTTATTTTCAAAAATCTACTGATCTTGCTATAAAAACACACTCACCTTAAGATTCTGTACAATCCTCCTACATTATGGAGGCTACTGTCTATTACATATTCAATGCCACCAATATATACACAATTATAATGATTAAACAAAAAATCAAATATATGTATGTATGTACGTATGTATGTATTTAAATTTTATGGAAAAATCACACTTTAAACAAAATATTGTGGTTTTCTCATAGTTATGCCATGATCTGCCAAAGCTGGTGTCAAATCTTCAATAGCCAAAGTATATTTACGATCCTTATTTGTTTTCTTATCCTGCAAAATAGCAAAAACATTGTAAACTTTTAAACTAATGTCTTGCTTTTTATAATTACCTTGTTTGAACCGTGACTGCCAGAATGTTGGCTATTGCTTCTGGTCTTGCAGTGTTGCAAAGCATCATTTGCAATGTCGGATATAAATTTTTGTGCCGTTACCGATATAATGCGCACAATACGAGGGTCTACGGCCTCAAAACCCGCACTGTGCAGATATTTTTCAGCCAAAGCATCGGGTACCGTTGGCGTATAGTCTTCCAAGTGTTGCAAAAGATCTCCGAGCTCTTCACCAGGTGCTGGTTCTAATTCCTCGGGTGCATATTCAACGGGAGTTGTAGGCTCATCATTACTTACAACCATTTTTTACAGTAATTTATTTTTTTATTAAATTTACACAAATTTATTATTTTTCTTTTGTAATTTTCTTTTGTTTACAGTTTGTTTTTAGAAATTCATATGGAGTTAATAACACAAACAAAAATTATCTGTCAATTTATCTACAAAAGGGTGCCACCTTCTGAAAAATCTAATATATTTTATTTAGTATGGCAACATCATGCTATTATCTATTAATTTGTTTTCTTTTTTCTTGCTAAAACTGTTTCAATAACAAATTTTTCTCGAGAATTTATATAAAAAACTACAAAATAAACATGATTGGTACAAATTTTGGTATATTTCGTCCTGCTAATGCTGGTTCTAGCACAAATGGCAATAATCCAGCTGGATCTGTAGCATCCGCAAATCCAGCTCAAGAGGTTCATATATTTTTAGGAAAGATGTTTTAATGAAATACTAAACAATATATGTAATTATTTCTCAGGGTTCTCAATTAAGTGATTTTATGCTGCAATTGGAGGATTACGTCCCCACGGTGCCAGATGCGGTAACAGCTTTTTACCTTAATTCTGCCGGCTTTGATTCCAATGATCCACGCATTATACGTCTTATATCGGTGGCCACACAAAAATTCATTTCCGATGTAGCAAATGATGCCTTGCAGCATTGCAAGACGCGCACAAATAATCAAAATGGTAATGCAAAAATGGTTAAACCTACAAAAGATCGCAAATATACTATGACTATGGATGATTTGGCTCCCGCTTTAGCTGACTATGGTATTACAGTGAGGAAAGCCCAATATTTTCCTTGATTTATTATATTAATTTAGGTATATAGTTTATTTCTAATAAAATTATAATACATATAATTAATGGTTTCAATATCAATGTTAAATTCCAAATACATTCAATATGATTTTAAACTTAATACTAATTTAGAGAGGGCTTAGTTACCGCCTGCGTCTTGGAATAGAGTAAAGGAGGATTATGAGGAATTAGTCTTTTGTTCGTAGATTACAATACATTATTGGCAGGTTATAAAACGTTTAAATGAACGTATTGTGCCACCAGCCACCCGGAATGCCAAAACAGCAGTCACAATAGTAACTGTGAAATTAATTGATAGGGAGGCAGCATACAGTTGTTGAGTATTAAGTAAAGTGATGAGACTGACAAATAAATGGGAACCCACTACATAAACAATGTGTACATAGTTGTTGGTATCGAATGCATTGAAGAAAATAACACCCCAGAAGACATGTAGTAAACATATGGATAACGCTTGAGCGGCTGAAACCATAAAGAAACTTTCCGTGCCGCCATTGAGACCTAAAGTACCAGGACCAGTCTAAGAAAAGGAAATAAAGAAAAATAATAACGATAACATTTTAAACATATACCAGTTTCAACTCACTAAATCCGCCAACACATTGACCAAAGCAAACATAGCCGATATAATACCAAATCCAAAACCGGATACATAAGCCAATATGTGTTTATTTTCCAATAGTCTCCTATCATCGGCTACTGCCTCCAGCCCTTCTTCGAATTTTCTCAATAGTAAATATAGTAAATAACGAAAATATTCTTGAAACAAGACGGAGAAGATGGTGCCAAAAGCCAAAATATGTCGCAACGGTATGACCACATACCAAAAGAGGGAGGATGTTAACAGAGACAACAGCCAGAAGAAAGCCGCCACTACCAGTATAATAACACGAATGGGGTTTTTTGCAATTGTGAAAATGAACAGCGCAAGTGGTGGTCCAAATGCTATCATGGAACAACCAAAAAATTCCGGTAAAGTCATTACTTTTTCAAAAATTATAAGCTATCGATGAGAATAAAAGAAATGTAAATTTTGCAATTTTTACTAGACAAACAAAAAAAATTAGTCAACACAACAATGTAGAAGAAGAAGCAAAACAGCTGAGAGAAATAATTAATGATGCCAGATTACGTAAGTAATATTTATGGCATGATATATTAATGTCAAAGTATTATATCAAAATGATGATGCAAATTTCATTCTAATCTTGAAATATTTTTTTTATTTTTAAGAAAAAAATTAGAAATCCTATTATGCCCTTTAAAATTTTGCATATTGAGCACCGTGCAGAAAAATGCTTTATTTCATTATTAAACATAGAATTTCAACATATTATTAAAAAATAAAATAGTAACAAAGTTATTAAGAAAATTATTCAAATTAGATAGGTATACATTTTAAACCAAACTTAAGCCGCAGTCATTCAAAAGTCTGGCAACTCAAGATATGATTCATGAACAAAAGAAAAAAAAAACAATTTAAAATTTTCTTTTCAACTCAACACCCAACAAATTATTGGAAAAAGACGTACAGAAATAGCCGGCTGTTCAGAAATATTAAAAATTCCTTATAAAAATTAATTGAATTCCATTGGATATTAGACAAAAAGAGTCGAAATGATGCAATGCGAAGAAATAAAAGATGAGGAGGGCCCCTCCAATACATTGGAACATTTCACCGAGCTGGAGCAAGTATTGCAAATGATAGACTCAATACAGGGGACAGATGCACCTGGTTTTGAAAAGGATTTTGAACAATACACCGAGGTGCTGAGCAGGTAAGTTTAGTCATCACCCATCTTTCATTGTCGTAAACGTAATTATCGACTTTACTTCAGATATCAAGAACAGCCCCATTTACTGGATATTCATTTGGAATTGTTATTGAAACGTTTGCTAGACAAGATTCGAGATCGTAATTTGAGTGAAAATATCATGCATGCTGCTTTCAAGTATCTGTACATCATTTGCAAAGTAAGAACTTATAAAGTTTTAGTAAATTTTTTGCCACACGAGTTGAGTGATTTGGAATTTGCCTTGGAATTGTTAGAGAAACAAAAGCCAAAAGAATTTAAACATTGGGAGACACGCTACATGTTACTGTTGTGGATGTCTATACTGGTATTAAATCCATTTCACTTGTCCCGCCTGGACGCCTATGCCACTAGTAATGATGCCAACGATAACAGTGATCAACTCATGAGCAATAATGTTCCAAGCAGAACTAAAATGGAGCGTATCTTTGATTTGTGTAAATTGTATACCTCCACCAACGATACTTGCAGTAATATTTCGGCCTATTTGTCGGCCAAATATTTTGTAAGAGCTGATATAAAAGATTTATACTTGGAACGTTTCTTAGATTGGATTATATCACAACATCAAGCCGATACAGTGGAGGTAAAATTTGGTCAGTTGGCAGCAGTGGCTGCTATTTTAAAACATGGTAAACGTGATGACTTACTACCTTATGCAGACAAGTTGCTGCAGTGGATTGTTAGTTGCCAATATAAAGATGGATCGGATTTTTTGAAATATAAGTGTTACATTAAAATTATACAACGTATTGGCTTGATTTATCTTAAGCCTCGTATAGCCAGTTGGCGTTACAAGCGCGGCACAAGATCCTTGGCTAAAAATTTAGCCCAAGAAAGTGACACCTCACAGCAGGAAGAAAGAACCATGGGCAATAGTCAGCAAGCTTCGGAAGAAATCACTTCCGACGAGGAAGTTGTAGTGCCAGATGCCATCGAAGAAGTTATAGAAGAACTTTTGCAAGGTCTAAGAAGTGGTGGCAATGATGTACGTTGGTCTGCAGCCAAAGGTATTGGTCGTGTCACTAACCGTTTGTCCAAAGAGTTGGCAGATGAAGTCATAGGTTCGGTCATTGATATTTTAAATCCTCTAGAACCACATGAGGCTTGGCATGGAGCCTGCTTAGCTTTGGCTGAACTGGCTAAAAGAGGTCTTCTTTTACCTTATCGCCTAAAAGAACTAGTTCCATTGCTGTTGCAGGCTCTATTCTACGATGAAATGAAGGGCTACATGTCAGTAGGTCAACATATACGTGACTCGGCTTGTTACATGTGTTGGGCATTTGCCAGGGCCTATAATCCCGACGATGTTTTGCCTTTTGTTCATGAAATATCAGCTGGTTTGTTAACTGTAGCCACTTTTGACCGTGAAATAAATTGTAGACGTGCTGCATCCGCTGCTTTCCAAGAAAGCGTTGGTCGTTTGGGCAATTTTCCCTTTGGCATTGAAATTTCCACAACTACCGACTTTTACTCAGTGGGTCTACGACAAAATTCCTACTTAAATATTAGTGATTTTATAGCTCAGTTTGAGGAATACCGTAAACCTTTAATCGACCATTTGGTCGAGCGTAAGGTAAATCATTGGGATCCCGCTATTAGGGAACTTGCTGCAAAGGCTCTACATAAATTAACACGTCGTGCTCCTGAATATGTTTCGTCCATAGTTCTGGATCAACTATTTGCCAAGACCGACTCTATTGATATTAACACACGTCATGGCAGTGTTTTGGCCATAGGTGAGATTATTCTGGCTCTTAGTCAAGTTGAAGAAGAAACTAAGGAAAACTGGATATCGAATCAATCGATTAGTAATACCAATGAACTGATATTGAAATTTATACAACGTGACCAATTTCGTGGTATGAGTGGTGAAATGATGAAACAATGTTGCACTGATTTCATACGCAACTGTAGTTTGGCGAAGGTGGAAACTACAACTCAGTGTATAGGTGAGTTGCAAATATCCATTAATGTTGGCAGGATAGAAAAATATTAAAACCTTTAAAACATTACTTAGAATCTTGGCAGGAGATCATTGACAAATGTTTACTGAATAAAACTGCTCCGATTCGGGAATCCGCCACTTTGGCTTTTGCTGAACTATGCCAAACTTACTATAACACACCCGAACGCAGTGTAGCCAATGCAGAAATCATAAGATTTTATCTTAAAGGTGCCGATGCCGATTTAGAAGAACATATACGTATGGGTTATATAAGTGCCCTGGGAGTAATGCCTCTATTCATGCTTGCGCCACATTTGGATTATATTTTGGAAAGTCTAGTGAAGCATTCTTTAACACCTTTTCAGGCATTAATCGAAGGTGAAGGTTCAAAAGAAAAAGATACTCATAATACACAAAATTGGAGTGAAGCTCGTAGAGATAGCGTAAAAGCTTTAAGTAATTTGGTAAAAACGGTGGGATACGACAGGGACACCAAAGGTAATGTTGTTTTAAGAAAAAAAATTATTTTACATGTCCCTTGTTTACAATACAGCATCCTTTGCCAACCCCAAATATTTCACAAAAGTAATCGATTGCTACTTAAAAGCCATGGATGAGTATACATTAGATAATCGTGGTGATATAGGCGCTTGGGTTAGAGAAGCTGCTATGAATGGTATTTCAGTTGAGAATTATTTTATCTTATTAAACTAATTCAGTATTTGGTTTGTAGCCATTTATGAACTTATGACATGCTGTCCCAGGGATATAATACAACCCGCCCATGTCCATGAAGTTATGTTGGATTTTATGCAGCAAGCAGTGGAGAAAATTGATCGTACTAGAGGTTTAGCTGGGCGCTTATTTTGTCAATTAGTCCATATGGAGCCAAGACTACCACACGTTTACCATCATGACCGTTTGCGAGAAATTTTCCCATCGGATGTCAATAGTGTGTTATGGCTTTTTGCTGATCATACATTCCCACTATTTTGTTCTCTACTCGAGTTACCCGAATATTCGAAACGTATTTTGTTGGGTCTAAGTGCTAGTATTGGTCAGCTAACAGAATCATTAATCAAATACTCTTCAGCGGCATTGTTTCAGTTCCTGCGCAGCCACCCTGCAGAAGTGCCACGATTGTGTAAAGAAATTGTTCTAAATTTTGAGGAAAACTTGCTAAACGAACGTGTTACATATCCCATGTTGAATTTTCTTGATATAATTATTGCCTCAGGTAAAAAGGCACTTGTCACACGTTTATAACAATTTTAAACACTTTTTTCTTTTAGGCACCATTAATTCTGTCTTACTCAATGAGTCGTCGACGTTTGCAGATGATATTTACCGTTTATTAAATCTGGAAATTAAAGGTCATAAAAAACTCTACAAGTTGGTATCCAGTATTAATGTTTTCTGTCAGCTGGTACAAGTTCCCCGCTTATGCAAGAAAATTCTTTCGAAATTATCCATATTTTTGGGTCTTACTCATGTACACATTCGCAAGACCACCGCTACTAAATTATATGAAGCATTGGCCTTGCACGGAGATGTCTGCGATATTTCTGAAGATAATATGGACGAAATCTTAAATTTACTTTCTGAAACAGACTGGGGTTTGCCATTGGTTGAAATAAGACCACTGCGTAATCAATTATGTGAGTTGATGGGTATTAAACCACCCATGTCTGCCGCATCTACATCTGCTACTGCTGGCAGTAATAATATTTAAAAAGAGAACTCTTTCGAATCTGCAAGGAATTTTTGAAATACTCAAAATTTAATGCACAATTTTGAAATTAACATTAGTATTAACAAATCTATTTATAATATTGGTTTAAAAAACTAATTTTGCTTCTAAAATAATAAAGATATCGAATTAATCGCATTTCGTTTTGGAGTGTTTCTTTTTAACTTTTGAACGAATTGTGTTTTCAAACTTTTTTGGTAAAAATAATATTATTTTTTGTGAAAACATAGATGAAATGAAATTAATTTTTGCTAAAATGAAAAATATTTTTTTCTATTTGTTTACAGAAAAATTAAATTTATGGTGACAATTGTAACTTGATGAAACATCAGTTAACAACCTCTTGGTGGAAATATTTTTTTTGTGCTAATTACAAAAGTACACATTTCTGAAAGATTTATATTAGTCCTAACCAACAATACATGCAAAAATGGATAAAAATTGTTCTCATATTGTTTTGCAGATTTTATTTATTTGCCAATCTGATGTTACACAATATTGATTTTTTGTTTCTTTTCATTTGTGTTCATTAAAATTATACTATTTAAACATAAAACTATATCTAGGACAATTTATGTTTATTTAATGTTTGTATTAAATATATTTCTTTAAAATTTTCAAACAATTTTGGTTTTTTTTTTTTGCGTATCCATGTGTAATTTAATTCTTTTCTTCTAAGTAGAGTTAGTTAAAAATGCTTTATAGAATATTTAAAAAAATTTTGAATTTTCTTCAATAACTTTAAAACACTTAATAGTGAGGGAATAACTTAAAATATGTAGAAAATGAAGTGTCCTAAACTGAAGATTTTAATTTTACCTTTTTTGTTCTTATTTTTAACAAATTATAAATTTTGTTAAAACAAAAATATTTGGGGTAGGTTGTAAATAAGTGGATAGATACATAACTAAAGAAATTTACAAAAAATACAATTAAAAAAATAAAATTAATAAAAATGGAATTAGAAGATCGCTTGTTTTACAGTCACAAAATTTTGTTTATTATGGTTGAAGAAGTTTTTCAATTTGTATTTGATTGTAGGTCACAATTTCGAGTCGACATTAACGGAACAAACGTGTGAAAGTTTTCAAAGCCATGGTTACCGACTTTGTTGAAGTGGACCTATACAGAAATAAAATAAAATAGCATTTAGTTAATAGAATGATTTAAAGCAAATACTCACTTCAAAACTGTCTCTTTAAATTCATGTAGTTGCGCATCTGTGGCCGTTACATAGCCCCCACTGTTTTTCTTTGGCAAAGCTTGCAGAGCAGATTTTAGAAAAGACTCCATTTGTTCCGGCGTAATAACTGCTTTTAATTCCGTCAATACCTCAGCAACATCTGGTAACATATAGGAGTGTAAGCAAAACACTGAAGCATGTATAAGATTAACCACCAAAGCCTCTCCGTTTTGTGATGCTATTTCTTTAACTAACGGTTTGCACTCGGCTAGTTTATAGTTTGAACTACGTCCCCATTTCAGCAGGTTACAAAAGAATTTCATAACGGAAGAGTTCGCCTCACGATGGTCCAAAGTGCAGGCCAACAAAGCACACTGAAATATGGGAGTTACTAGAGCACTTTGCAAAAATGGCAAAGGACAGCAGTCAATAAATCTTGAACAGAGACGGAAAAAGTCATCTACAGTATCAGGATTGTTCTTTAAACCATTTTCCACCTGTAACATCTTAAAGGTGGGTTCAATAAACGCCTTTAGCATGGCCAACAGGCCATTAATGCATTCCTCAACTTTGGCAAATTCATCGACCAACACTGAACCCAAATACAAAAAGCAGCTGTGGTGATGTAAAGCGTACAATGTAATCATTTGGTGTATTAAAGGCTCCACTAACATGGAAGCTTGCTTGCGCACCATACGCACTCCATAACGTATGAGACGACAAGTACGTTCCATCACACGTACATCAGTTTGATATTTATCCATTAAACGCGATATTAACGGCCAGGCCTCGGTTAAAATCTGCAGAGTTGGATGCAATTCACTGTCCGGAATATCGGGATTTGTGTGTCTTATTATAGCACATGCCCTATCCACCCAGTAAGCTGGATCGGATCGTTCTCCTTTGCATATCGTAGCGTTGGGTGCATTGCTTTCAACCATTATGGCTAGTGGCTGAAATTGGAAGGAAATTATCTCGCGCATGGCGGACTCCAGCTGTTGTCTTGGCAGACGTGACAATATCAAAGATATTCCTTTAAGAAGTCCTATAGCCAAGTCATTATTTATTTCGAAACTATCTAAACTACGTGCTATTTCCACGAGTCCACTGATGTGATAGACCATCTTTTGACGGCACGATGAACAAATCGATGTTAAAGATATTGCAGCTGCTGCAGCCAAGCCGTTTTTCTGTTGCAATGAGTACAACAGAAAGTTTAAAACAGCTTCCAGACTTTCGGCATGATTTTCAATCCAGTCACACAATTCTCCCAAAAGCATTATGGAAGTGTAACGCACTGCTATGTGAGTATTTTCGGGTAAATTTAATATTGCTTCCACCACATTGGGGATAACTTCATTTTCGTCACTACAAAATAAAAAAGAATATAATCTCAGTTCTAAAGGCTAACAAATTTATTTTGTTTACTTACGGTATTATATTTTTTGCTACATTTTGCATAATAAAGAGGGCAGATTCTGTTGACTCCCAGGAACAGCCGGGTTCTTGCAGTTTGAAAAACATTTGTTTAAAGCAATTACCAGAGCCAACTATAAATGCCACATCCTTAATCAGATCGGAAACCTTTCGTCTAAAGTCCTGTAATTTACAAATCCTCTTAAAAATTTTTGAAACAAGTAAAACATATTAAAAGGTCTTACATTAAAACTATCATTATCGTCAATTAAACCCTCATGGTCGGGTTCCATTTGTGCCAAACGATATAAAGCTCCTATTAGACGTTCTATATGAGGTTTGAAATGACCCGTCAGAGTATCATTGTTACGCTGAAATAATTCTTCGCTAAGACGACACCATAAATTAAACGTAATCTCAGCCACTTCGTAATCATAGTGGCCCACGCATATTAGCACCAAGTCCAATCCTTTTATTGAGTAGTGAGGAACATCTTCATTTTCAAACATTTCAAAGAAAAATGCCTCACACAGTACTGTGAAAATGCGACAATAATTCATAATTTTGTCGATATCCTCCATGCCAACTGAAGTGTGATATGCTGTCTCCAACATACGAACTGCATTGAAAATCTGCATCTTTAGCTGAGGGTCTAAATTATCCCTGTCGGCATTGGCTTCTATACAACTTAAGAGGGAACAGAGGCATTCTGTGCAGGTATCATGCAATTTTCTAGAACAATTTTCTAGGCTCAATAGGTGAAAGACTTGTTGTGTGAGAGGGCTGTTAGCCGATTGCTGTAAAGGAATCGCCTGAATAGCCACCCACGACGAGTAGCAACGTAGAGTAGAATTTATTATTTTTTCCTGAGAAGCTTCGCCGTGTTGCATACACATGCATAGAAATTCCATTACTTTTGGAGCAGCTGCATCCAATTGTTTGTGAATTTCCTCTCGTCGGTTGGCACCCAGTCGTAAATACCTCGAGTCGATTTCTTCCGGTATCAGAGTCAGAATTTCCAAAAGCGGCCAAACAGATTGAGGTTGTGGTGAAAGCATATCGAGTAAGTCTACTACCGGCTGTTTCCACGAAGACATTAACAAAGCCAAATCGGCCACTGCCAAACACAGTTGGGTCACTATAACCGTATCGGTTTCATTGGTAATTTGACCCACATGAGCTATCAGGGAATCTCTAAGAGAGTCGTGCGAATTCATTGGTAATTCATTGAAAGAATTCTGTATTTTATTGCGCATAGTTTGGGCCGCGAAATAGCATGAATGCAAATCCCGTTTTTGTTGCAGCAACTCGTCCGCAATTGTCCATGAGTAAATCTGAAACGCATTTGTTTTTGTTAGTCATTAAAGAAAGGAAAAATCGAATATTTTGCATTTTAATATTACACTAGGGTGTAACTTACCGATTTCTGAAATTCCTCTAACCATTTGTTGGCCTTTTCTTTTTCTTTGGGATTTGTATTGTGGAATAATGTACATATACCCTGATATACCAAATCAGCGGTGGGTGCAGTGTCCATCATATTCTGTTGTTTAAAATTTTATAAATTACTTGTATTTTGGTAAAATATCTACATAAATTTTATTATTTTTTGCACTCAAATATGAAATTTTGTAAAATTTTCTTCTTGCTGAAACTAGAGTTCCAAGTCGATCAGCGCAAGACAGCTTGGCGCCGCCGCCGAATTTTTTTATGAAAAAAAAACCGTCGACAATTCAGTCGGCTGATTCCGGCTCATTTCACCAGGCTACTGGCATCTCTTAAGACAAATAATAAAATATGGTAACATTCTAAATAACTCCCGTTATTTGCCGCAAAAAAGTTAAATAAAAGTAGTGACGAGTGAATTTGTCCGCAAAATTACACAAAATTATTAGTACATACATATTTATAAAACAAAATGAGCCTGAAATATCACCAGATTCGGAATCACCATCTATTATATTGACGACTACATTAATCATTTCAAAAGAACGGTATTTCTGAATGCTGAAAATACTTTGATGATTTGTACATACAGAGGTAAATGGCAAATTCTTGAAAAGAACAAATTAATGCAAAATATGTGTGGAAGACGAGAGCATGGTTTAAAAGGGTAAGTAACTGCTAATACTTATTTTTTCTCTACATACCCTGATGAAATTGCTGGAGTACATAATCCATTTAGGTAAACCCAAAACTCCCCTGCAAATATTATTGCTGAACATGATCCGTTTAGCAGTCCTATGTAATGTAGACATGGACCATGTATAAAGAACTTTTTTGGGGATCATGTACTACCATAATTTTATCAAGGGAATAGTCTGATGTAATGCTTGTACGTTTTAAGCCTGTATACTAGTCTATGTATAAGAAATTGTAAACAATGATCAGCTGGGCTAATGTTAAACCCTTGCATTAATTACACCCTGATGTATACGATTTGTATTAAAAAAGCTTAAAACAAATATGAATTTAAGTTGGAAATGGTCACACTTAAAACTGAAATGTTTCCTCGTCCACAAATAGCTAAATTGGTGGCATAAAAATCTTAAAGTCAATGGCGGAATAGTTCTGAGGAGATATCAAAATTCACACATAAAGTACCAAAATTGCATTAAAATTCAAAGCATACTTAAATATTCACTGCGTCTAAGTACCTATATAAGACTATGGATAAATATAATTAAAAAGAATTTTAAAAGTTCACTTGCATTTATTTTACATAAATATTTATATTTTTAAATTTATGAAATATTAGAGTACCATACAAATTAATGCTTAATTTTTAAAACATACAAATATTCGCCCGGTATACGTCGTTCCATTAACGTCTCACTGTTAAATCCCATATTCATTAGTTTTTCCATTATTTCTTTTGGTTTATTTTCTCTTAATAAAAGCAAATAGAAAACACCCTGAGCCGACAAAATATTGGGCAACTTTTCAATTAACACGTCAATAATACGTCTACCGTGTTGACCACCAGCCCAGGAATACACCAGATTATCTTCTGTACAATCGCCAAATTTGTCCATTTGTTTAAGTTCCTCATCGCTTGTGACTACATAAGGTGGATTAAATATTAATAAATCAATCTTTTGTGTATTAAGAGCATCTACTAGATTGCCCCGTATACAATCGACTCTCGTGGCATTTCGTAAGGCAGTTCGTTTAGTGACTTGACAGGCATAGGGATTTATATCACAAGCTAAACATAAAGTGTTGCAAGTTAGACGTTTCGATAAAGCTGTAATAATTACACCACTACCAGGGCCAATTTCTAAACAAACTGTAGGATTTAATTTATGCTCTATGAAATCCAAATCTGATTCCAAAGCATCTAATAGCAGAAAAGAATCCTCTGCTGGTTCGTAAACGTGTTCATAGTCCTGAGCTGTTAAATGATCGATATGTGGTGTCTCCATTGTTAAAAAAAAAATTAAATTGCTTTTATTGCTTTCGTTTAGACACTATTTATTCTTTAAGATATATTTGTACTTATAGCCGAGTCTAAAAGAGCTTGTCTTCTTCTTTGCTCCTTTTCTATTAGACGATGTAAACCGTTTAGACGTTCCTGGCTAGTGGTCAATATATTTGCTATGACCGTCACTTTGTGCTTGACGTTTATTAGTTCTTTTACTTTGTCGGAAAACTCGGGTATATTATGTTGAGCTCTTTCAATATCTCTTAACTGCATAGACAGCACATCCAGTTGGGCTTTTAGTTCTATTTGAGACTGACGTGTGGCTTGTATACGTTCGTCTAATTTCTCTACCACTGGTTTAAAAATATTTAAAATACCTTCGGCCAATATATCTCTGGTTTGATTGTTACAAAAATTTTCAGTATTTTCATCCAGCGAAGTGACGGTGCTATCGGAATCTTTGTCCATTATTTAGGAATCTAATAAGATTTTTGTTTTCTGAGTTGTTTTTGTATTCCTCTTCCTTTTGCTAATGCTGTTTTCTTATCGTCATCATTGTTGTTGTCTAAACATATGTTTAATGATTGTGATATAAAGCAACTCTGTTTTTATGTTCGAAATTTGTTGTGGATGTGTTTAGTAAGCATTATTATAGAAATGTATCCGTTAAAAAAGGAAGTATAAACAAATTTTAAATATTTTCTTGAACAATTTAAATTTTTATATAAATATAGATTCTCCGTTGGAAACGTAATATGTTACGTAATTTTTAATGACCCTGTATACCACTGAGTGAAAATTATTCAGATCGGACCATAAATGATACATTAAAGATAATTCCACGATGATAATGTACCAAACTTCATGTGGATCTTTTCGTAATTGGCCTCTTATTAGGTCTTCTTCAGAAAATGTATTTGCTTGTCCTGGCTATTACTTTTCCATTGCTATATTCAATATATATATCAATATTTTTCGTTTTATTTTTACATTTCGTATCTATTCACAAATAAATTTTTTAACGAAAAAAATTAGTCGTTGAATAGTCTTAATACTTAAGATAACGATAATTGGCATTAAAAATAATCGTTAGTTAGCAACAATCAGTACACCAAATCTATAAACACTTTATAGGTAATTAAATAATGCCTTTTTAAGATTGTATCTATCATCTATCTATCTATCGATATACATACATACATATGTATGTATCTACCCAAGGAGACTGACTATGTATTAAATAAATAATTAATGAAAGGATAATTCTAGTGACTATTAAACATTTTATTGTACCTATACGTACACACAATAATACTTCGTCTAGTGTACAGTTTTTTGTTGGGTTTTGCACTTCTTTGATATTTATTTGTGTAATAGACATCTAATGACCTTCAAAAATTCAAAGCACAAAATGCCTTTTACCTGACCTTAGGGTTTTTTCCGTTCAATAGTTAAAATATAGAATATTTTCTCCAACTCTACAAAATGGCAGATGTTTTTCTGAACACAAAAATTTTCTACACTTCCTACAATATACTAAATAAAACTGTACTTATGAGTTTTAATCAACATGGTGGATTCATATGAAAATTCCCTTTATTTTCTAGCGAGAGAGATAGAAAGAGAATATAAATTTTTATAAATGTTATAGTCGGTTTTTGTATCTACTGAATCATACAGGGGCACAGTAACCTCTAGGTTGTGTATATTGTATCTCAGAAATACCCTAAACGATGTCCGCAATAACAAATTTTATAAGCGCTGCTACGACCACTTCTGTCACCCACTTTGTGCGTTTGTGTGATAAGAAAAGTTGTTTGGAGGGTAGAAATTTAGTTGTTGATATGAAATGATATACAATTCTATGCGTGCCAATGTGTTTTTACATGTATATTTGGTACACCTTATTCAAGATATCGATTAAATGTATTCTGTAAAACTTTTATTTAAAGGTAATTTAACAGCAGCTATGATTTAAAAAATTAAATAAATAGTGGGTTATTTTTATTGAAACGGTATGAGTGTATTGTTATAGCAAAGTTGCCAGAAAAAAGAAATTAAAATTATGGCCAGCTGAAAATTAAGTCTTATATATGTACATATGTACATTTACATGTACTAATGTGTACATTAGGGAGGTATTTACTTTTTGAACTGAAAAGTGCAAAGGTTGGATTAGTGTGTACACAACTATATACATACAATTTAGCAATTTTTAAATAATAAATTGTATAAAAATCTAAAGGTTTAATAACAAACAAATTTAATATTTCGTTAAAATTAGTTTAAAGTTTTATTTTTTCAATTTTTAATTTTTTTCTTGGTAGGATACATACACTTCCAATAAAACGTTTGCTAAAAACACAAATTCAAATACAAAGTGATTTTTTTGTTCTTTAGAAATGTAATTTTATATTATTTTATAAATACTGTGTGTTGGTTGATATTATTTATTACTTTTGTATAATAATTATTTATATGTAATTGTTATGAATATTAACAAAAAACAGTTTACTTTTTAGAAAAGTTTCTTTTTTCATAGAAAATTTAAAAAAGGTTTTCTCTCACACAATTTTCAAATGCTTTTCTTTAAAAATAAATTTTAATTACAAAAAACCGTGGGATCAATAAAAAAACTCCAAGAAAATTGTGTATGCAGTTTTTACTTATGATATTTCCCATTTAATTTATTTGTATAATTTTATTTAAAGAAAATTATACTTAAGATTGACCCGTTATTTGTCTACGTTTTTTATTTATTATTTATCTTCTGTAATGTCCATGAGTAAAGTATTCATTAAGTATTAATTCCTAAATAATATAAGTTTTAATTAATACAATTTTTATTTAAACAATTTATATTTTCTTAAGACAGACTTACCAGTTTAATAATGAACTCAAAATTGTGTCTTTTGCAAAAAAAAAAAAATAATAAAAATAAAAACTTGTTTATAATAGGTGTTGAAATAATAAAAATTATAACAAATATGTATAATGGAAAAATTTATAAATTTACAAATTGAAAATCAATTATCTTTATATAAGAATTAGGGGAGAAACTTTTATTTTTTATTCCAAATAAATTTGTGTTCATTCTTGAATTATTATAAATAATGGTTATTTTTAAGTAGATTTCGGTCTTAAAAATCCATAACAATGTGTTCCTTTTGATAAATCTGAAATATCATTTATTTTCAATTTGGTTTTTAATATTTTATAATATAAACAATAATGAACGTTTTTTTAAATTTTCTGTGTATAGTAGTAGATTTGAATTTGGCTTACAATTTGGGGAATATAATAATTCAACAATTAAATTTAATATCCAATATACATAGAAATGATCCCCTTTTTGTAAAACTTGTTAACAATATCTGTAAAAGCTTTATACACTCTTTTTCTAGACCAATTTTGTTTTAATAACATGTCATGAATGCTTCAAAGGAATGATAAGAGATTAATTTTTACCAGATTATGAAGTATAAATTAAGAATTGTTTCAAAACTTCAAATATTTGTTTTTTAAATAGTTTATGTGCAGTTATCTCTGCATCAAGTAAAGGGTTAACGGCTAGATTTTGAGCCGGTAAAAATAACTTTTATATGAAAACTTTCAATATATCGCCAACATAAAAGTAGCCAGATATAGTGAAAATTTGCTTAAATTTTATGAATTTAATATAGTTTTTTTTTAAATAAATTCTACAGATCCTACGAAAGTTGTAGAACAAAATAAAATCTTATATATAAATCGATTTTCGAATAAAATAATACTTCAAAAACCACTTCCATAAAAAATGGAATCCAATTCTAATTTAATTTTTTTTTCTTAGTAATTTTGTTAAATTTTAAAATAGTCTAGAATGTATTAAAATAATCTGTGCTTCCCCATAACGTAAAGTCCCTAATGATGTTTTTGTAAACAATTTTCCACCTTTAATTATTTAGGTTTTCTTTTCTCTACATCGATTTTCTTTTTATAAAATCTATATGAAAAAATAATGAAACGGAATTTAAATAATTAATGTGTTTTTTTAATGTTTTATTTAAATACTTTTTGCTTGTATTATTGTTTGTTTTATGTTTTTTCTTTTTGTATAGCTACATATATAACGTCTAATGCTTAATTAATGGTTTTGTGTTTACTTTTTGTATTTTTTCTTTAATTTTTTGTTTGTGTTTAAATTATATATACTTTTTTAAATAACATATATAAAAAAGACGACTTAAAGATATAGAGCGAAAAAAGAAAATTTATCTTGTCAAATGAAAACTTTCCTTTCTTAAAAAAATTATATAGAATTACACATTCATACAATTAAAATTAAAATAAGAAATAAAAAATATTTCTTAACATAAAAAAATTTATAAGTATAAATTTAGAGTTTTTGTATATTTTAATTGTTTTGCATTATTTTGTTTGAATTAATTATTAATTTAAGAGGTTTTGACTAATATATTATCATTACGCCTGATCGTCGGAACCCGAACCATCATCATTTTCATCGTCATCATCTAAAAATAATGAAAATAATTTTTTTTATTTAAATATTTGAAAATTGCTAAATAAGTTAGGGTGAGCTGCATATAATTGAGCGATATTTACCTTCACATTCTATATCATCTTCTTCGCCATCGTAGGGAATATCATATTCGTCACTTTCAATATCACTATCGCCCTCATTGCCTTCCTCATCGATGACTTCCTCATCGTCTGAGTCAGCATCGGGGGCTTTTTCTTTCTTGGCTTTCTTTGATTCTGAATTTTTAGCCTAAAATAATAGAAAATGTTAGAAATTAGTAGAATGTTTTTTTTTCGATAATTGTAAACATATTTTAAAATTATTTCTAGTAATAAAGAGATATCCTAAACTAGTTGCAGTGCTAAATTCGGCTACGCTCTTCTTCATAGTAAATATATACGTAAAATAAATCTGTATTTTTGCCCATATTTTTCTGTATCAATCTCTAACGCATAAATATTATCCTAGACATTTTGTTTATTAAATGAAAGGTCTTTCGAATATATTTTATTACATACATATGCATATTGAACATAATCCAAAATAAATTTAAAATTCTGCAAAAATCATGGTTTTCTCGGAATTTTGATAATTGTCTGGAAATGATCCTCTATATGTATCATTGATTATTGGAAACAAATTGTGTTAAAATTAAAATGTATAGCTATTTATAAACAAAATTAAATTTTAAAAGAAATTTCGAATTTCTTTAATCTGATACATTTATTTTTCGTAATTGTTAAAAAAAAAAACAAACTGTACTTGATCGTTTAAATTTAGTGCGTTCTACATTTTTTTTCTTTTTTCCATAACACATCATGTGTTTTTAAGGGTGATTTGAACTCTGCTGTGCCACTGTGTTATCGAATTTTTTTATATTTCTATTTTGTATTGTATTTGTAAACTAAAAAGATTATGCAAAAAACAGAAAACATGATAACAAAACACAAACAACAGAGAAAAGTATTACAATAACAAAAATAAAGTAAATAAGGTGAAGAACTTGTGAGAGGGAATGAAAGTATATAGATATTTTTAGTATATAGGC